GCGGCATTAAAATAGCACAATTTGTATTGGTCTTCCTTCAAAGCGCTTCATGGATTGCGTAATTGAATTTACGATTTTAATTGATAATGATAGTAATGTGTTTAAAACTATGTATCAATTTAAAAGAAAGAAGAAGGAACTTACAAGAACAAAGCAACTTAGATATAAACATGAAATAAAGAATGGAAGAATTTTAAAGTTAAATGTAAGAAGCACGAATATGAAAGCAATGAAGTGACATATAGTTGCAATAATACTAAAGAATAAGCAAGATGACAGAATTTAAGAACAATAAAGTGACGTATAATTAACACAATACCAAAGAATAAGCAAGAAGGTAGAATATGAGAACAATAAAGTAACATATAATTAATATAATACCAAAGAATCAGCAAGTAAGCATAATAAGAATAAATGCAAGACGCATAGAATTATGGCGGTAATTCCCTTCCATACTACTGATGTCACGATTCCCATATGTTTCCATCGGGTTTCCAAATTTGGGAAACCTGGCTTTTCATCCTGTGCATCAAACTTATTCAGCAGATGCATCTTTGGACTCTGAAAAATGTAAACTAAAATGTGGGTCACGGTGACCTACTTTCAACATTTTATGGCTTTTTTTAAAGTATCTCAGGTACTTACTGGCTTAGAATCATCAAACTTTGTCAGTTGATGTATCTTGGGTTTTCGGAGAATGTCGACCAAAAAGTAGGTTACAGTGACCTACTTTCAACTTTTTATGGCTATATTTACATGTAAGTATCTTAGGTATTAATGGCTTAGAATAATCAAACTGTGTAAGTTGATGCATTTGGGGTTTTCCAAGAATGTAGACCAAGAAGTAGTCCTTATTGGCTAAGAATCATAAAACTTTGTCAGGTGGTGCAACTTTGGTCTCAGGATACCTAGGGTTAGAGGCTTCAAATACAAGTGATAGGTTGTACATTTTATCAAAAGAGCGATTCAAGGCCCTTGGGCCCCTTGTAAAATTTTAAATTTGAATGTGATAATTATGATTAAATAATTTTAATGTAGCTAAAAAAATGATAGCTTGAAGTATATAGCTATTTAAAGCTATATAGCTTAATGGCTTTGTTACTTTTTGCTAAAGGTACCATACATCAACATTTTGAATAATAAAATGTTTCATTTTCATTAGAACAGATAAAAGTATATTTTCAACACCTGTACAATCCATGTTACACTGTTCATTCTGAGGCCGTTGAATTTCTTTTCCATATCACTATACAGGGCTCACCTTGACCTGGATGACCCCTTGTCCAGCAGGCCCATGAGCTTCAAAAGGACCCTCCCCCAACCCCAGGCCCTTGCCCACCCACAAGTGCATTTTAATGTAAGATCTTAAAAAATACTCGGAACAACAGTTGAGAGAAATCCGATTATCGGCTACACGACGGAAGCTGTACATAAACCCAAACTACAGACCTCCATATATATCGACTATATTAAGTGTTGAGTTCCACACTGCCTCTACTGGAACTGCAGGTAAAAATTGGGAATTTTAAAAAAATAATTGGCATAATTTAATTAAAAATTATATCATTTTAAATGATTATATGATAGTGTTTATGTTATTTACAAATTGAAAGACTGTTATTGAATTTACATTTTTTGTGTATGTTGTCCTCACAATTAGTCCGAAATAACCATTTTTAGCTCACCTGAAGCAAAGGCCGTTGTAAATAAATGGTTGATTTTTATCTTCGTTGTTAAAACTTTTCACATTTTCGAAAATTTTCGGAACAACTGAAGTTGAATTTCAACCAAACTTGCCACAAAGCATCCTTGTGTTAAGGGGATCAAAACAAGTTAATGTCAGGCCCTTTACTATAAGTATTTACCATGTTTTTAATGGCATTTTTAAACAATCTTCTTTTCAAGACACAAAACTTATCTCCACTGCATGTTGGAATAGACAGGTTTCACTGTAATTATATTTGTTCAACCTGTAATTTCTTAATATTTATTAATTTGATAAAATTATTTTTAAATATTATATATGAAAAATCTTTGAAAATCTTCTTCTCAAGAGCCACTGGGCCAGGAAAGATGAAACTCATGTGGAATCATCCTCAGGTAGTTAAGATTCAAGTTTGTTCAAATCATGACCCCCAGGGCTAGGGTGGGGCCAAAATGGCCGACCCAAGTTTTATATAGGAATATATAGGCAAAATCTTTAAAAATCTTCTTCTCAAGAACCACTGGGCAAGGAGAGATGAAACTCATGTGGAATCATCTTCAGATGGTGTACATTCAAGTTTGTTCAAATCATGACCCCCGGGGCTAGGGTGGAGCCAAAAAGGCTGACCTAGGTTTTACGTATGGATTTTAGGGAAACCTTTAAAAATCTTCTTTTCAAGTACTTCAAAGCTATGATTAGTGATATTAATATGGAACCATCTTCAGGTAGTGTATATTCTAGTTTGTTCAAATCATGAACATTTCAGGGGGTATGCATTTAAAGCCATAAACCCCCCCCCCCCCCCAGTAAACTTTCAGTTCTGATCTGATATGTGCTTTTTCCTAGCCAATGTGCTCAGGTGAGCGCTGTGGCCCCTGGGCCTCTTGTTCTGGTAAATTTCGCATCATCGTGAATTCTGATTTTCAAGTTATTAATGATGGCTTGTTCATAGACTTGGTAACTATTTTCTAAACTAAGTATAATTTTGTTAGAGAATAATTAATGTATTTCTCAGCTTGAAATCTTTGGCCATTGTGAGTGAAAACATTTTATTTCTCAGGACCTGGTTTTATGATTTCTAAAAAGCTCACAAGTCGAGAAAGCTATCCAAAAAACAGCTTAATTCATACTCCAGTAACATCACCTCTGTACTTAGTCAGTTTCCCAGTCAACAGGTAAAAATCAGTGACAGCTTCAGTCATACTCCAGAAATATTACCTCTGTACTCAGTAAGTTTCCCATTCAACAGGTTAAAATCAGTGACAGCTTCAGTCATACTCCAGAAATATTACCTCTGTACTCAGTCAGTTCCCCAGTCAACAGGTAAAAATCAGTAACAGCTTCAGTCATACTCCAGTAATATCACTTCTGTACTCAGTCAGTTTCCCATTCAACAGGTAAAAATCAGTAACAGCTTCAGTCATACTCCAGTAATATCACCTCTGTACTCAGTCAGTTCCCCAGTCAACAGGTAAAAATCAGTAACAGCTTCTATCTGTAGTAAGTCAGTCATACTCCAGTAATATCACTTCTGTTCAGTCAGTAACCCAATCAACAGGTAAAAATCAGTAACAGCTTCAGTCATACTCCAGTAATATCACTTCTGTACTCAGTCAGTTTCCCATTCAACAGGTAAAAATCAGTAACAGCTTCAGTCATACTCCAGTAATATCACTTCTGTACTCAGTCAGTAACCCAATCAACAGGTAAAGATCAGTGACAGCTTCAGTCATACTCCAGTAACATCACCTCTATACTCAGTCAGTTCCCAAGTCAACAGGTAAAAATCAGTAATCAATTTTATTGTTGTTGTTGAAATGCTGCCATGTGGATATTTAAAATGCACAAAAATGTATACATAAGGGATAAAGTGTTTTAACATTCAAATTAAAATAGGAAAGAGTTTTACTTTCTATTGTATTTTGCCACTAAAATTAAAGTTTACTCTATGCTTTCCTTTTAGATTGCAAATGTGATAGACAGCCATGCTGCCACTCTTACAAGAAGAACAGAGAGAGAAAACTTCTTCATGACAACACAGGGCATAGTTCAACTAGTTCAGAGGTTAGAGGTCATAGTATTACTGACCTTTGGTAATCTCAAGTGTCCCAAATTTCTTGTAAAGCATATCAGAGAGTATATTTTCTTCGACAAGCATGCATGTCAATCCAACCATATCAAATTCATAATTGAACCAAAAAAATTGAATGCCTCTTCCTTTTGCATGTGACAGTTCTATCATAAAGCTTAATGGAATGAATTTTTGTGTATAACTGTTCTTGGTGTAACGCATGTGACATTTTCTTTTGACAGTGGATCTAAGGGGTAATGCTAGTGGGTTGTGAGTAGGATGAATCACAAGGTTTTAAGATTTATATACCAAAACTTTTTTTCACACTTGATCTGAACAGATAAACTTGAAGTCCAGTACATGCACATTTCTGAATTTTCTTTTCATTTTGTCAAAAAAAAAGAAAAATAGTCAGATAAGATATGCATGCCTCTTAACTTGAATAAGACCATTATTTGAAAATCGAAGCAACATCATCGCACTCGGTACTTTATATATACTGAACAAAAAAAGAAACGCATAATCAGTATAATATGAAATTCTAAGTTTTCAGTTTAAACCTTATATAATTTAAGTGATTTTAGAGTGTGTTGTGATAAAAATCAATGTTGCAAATTGAAAAGTCAAGTTGAGGTCATTTTCATTGCCCCCAAATTCAAGGGGCATAACAATATGTACTGTGCAAAGTCTCAGTGCTAGTGGGTTTCCAGTGTACGGATATCGAGAGGGAATTTCATCTCATTTCTGTCTCATACGAACAATTTATGCATTTTTATGCTTATTTTTTCATCCAGAAATTGTATCAGCAGTTTTATAGCAAGTTCTGAATCGCATGGAGTGATGATGGGGGGGGGGGGGTCTGACGGTCCTGCCTGGTTGTGATTACCTGCGGATGGCCAGATAGTGGTCTTCAGACGTCACTTAGTTTTAAGGTTTCAATGCCCATTGATTTATTTCAAATACAGTTGCAACTTCCTGTTGCATAGATTCATTTAGTTGCATCGTTAGCCTGGTTTTACTCATCTTTGTTTTGGCGTGGCATTGCAGTATTAACACTGCAATAAAATCTTTAATATGGGTTTAATAGAAGTGTTAAAAGTTCCTCTAAATTCAAAATATCAATGAAAATAGACATCTGATTTAGAAGAAATCATGAAAAACACTACTTTCATAAAAATGTTTAATCAAGGGAGATAATTCAACACTTGGGTTTTAAAACCCCATGTTGTCGTTTAAATAGGTCACAGGTATCCAATGATATAAAAAATAGTTGTTTCATGTGCATTTTAAAAATGTCTTTGACGAATAAAACAATATGCATTTCTTTTTTTGTTGAGTATATAAAAAGAAATTGCCAATGCATTCAAACTATTATCAGTTTCTAGGTTTTTATCAAACATTTTAATTGATTAATGGATGGGGGCCCTCACTGTTTTTTAATATAATATTAAAACTTGTATGGAACTGTTTTGCACTCTTCATAGACCTTCTGGCATTAACCCCATTTCTATTCTTTTTGTTACCACAGCCTTAATGTTCTGTATTTGTCTTTGTAATACCAGGAACTACATTCTGTATTCTGTGGTTTTTGTCTGTGTCTGTTGTTTGCTTTTCTCACCCCCCTCCCCCTCTCTTTCTCCTTTAAATGTGCTTCCATATCGATCATAACTCATTATTAATTACAGTTACTGTCCTTATACATTTGTAATATGTACTGAAACCCACATAGTGTAGCGGCTTAGATCAAAATTTCAGCAAAATAGTTCACTTGTGGATACAAGCATGAAATTTGGCACAAATGTCTATCTGATACTACTAAATCTAAAAACATCGTTGGCCACCGCAATTTCCGCCATTTTCAAGATGGCCGCCATTAAAACAAAATGGCGACATTTCAATGCAGTTTGGCCTCACATACATTCTTTTACAACCAAATTAATGATACTTTGACCGCTTAAAGATATCTTAAAAGTTTAAAAAGACTTTTAAAATCCTATTCCAAATTGAATGCTAAAATTTAAAGACAAAATGATTTTTTTTTTATAAATCATTATATTGTTCCCTATTGTAAAATTGAAATATATTATCACAAGAAGGCATTAAAAAAAAGTTGTAGAAGATGCTTTACAAAAGCCTCGCAGGCGTGATTAATGATACTTTGACCGCTTAAAAATATCTTAAAAGTTTAAAAAGACTTTTAAAATCCTATTCCAAATTGAATGCTATAAATATAAAGACAAAATGATTTTTTTTTTTATAAATCATTATATTGTTCCCTATAGTAAAATTGAAATATATTATCACAAGAAGCCATTAAAAAAAGTTGTATAAGATGCTTTACAAAAGCCTCGCAGAGGTTTCCTTACTATCCAGGGGCCTGAATACCAAGTAAAATTTTGTATTTGAATGGCCTCAATAAGTTAAATAATACCTCAAGGAGTAAAATCTCATAGAGTGAAACACTCTCCAAAGCATGTAAAAACTCAATGAATGAAATAATCCTTCAGAGAACGTAAAATTTCATTGAGTGAAATATTCTTTCAAGCAACGTTTTATTTTAATGAGTGAAATAATCAATCAAGGAACGTTAAATAAAATGTAATGAATCAATTTATGACATAAAACAACAGGTAATCATTCGCTATCCACAATGAAGAATTCATGGACTGTGAAGACAGCATCATCCTTTTTAAATCCAAAACAAACGCCCGTGTTGGCTCGTAACCAATCTTTATTTGTTCTTGCCAAAAGAAACAATGAGTATTATGACTGATAATTTATGGTGAAGATAGATCTGTTGTTAATATGTTTGATGGGTTGCATATTGAAACGGTAGCTTTCAAATTGCTTGGTGATTTATTGAAAGGAAACCACTGGACAACAGCATTAATTCAAGCAGACAGAAGTTGCATATGGTGGAACTGCTGAGTCTTTCCTAACAGTTTCTAATCTTGCTAGAACAAGGCAAAATTATCTTATTACTGCCTGCTGTCTGTAACGTAATAAATGCAAAGGAACTCGATAATTGCAATGAAATTGAAATAGATGACATATTTTTCACAATTTAAATTTTGATAAAGAATTCTTTTGGAACTCGTTGTCTTCTCTTTTGTAAAGTTTTGCAGAGAATCAGGCTTTACAAAGAATCTTTATCAAATCTGATTCCAAATTTCTTGCTCTTGGTCACATCAAATAAACTCAATGACTACCATTTCACCATTGGGGGCAAACAAAGCACCCGGACATATACTAGTACATGTACTTAGAATTTGAAAAAGGAATCTTATTTGGTAAGAATAATAGTTTTCAAACATTGGCATTCGTCAAATCCATGAGCAGAATGCTTTTGTAAAAGGTGATGGTTATCGGAAGATCCAGCTGCATTAAGGGTGGAAGCTGGTCCAGAAATCAGCATACTTACTAAGAGTTCACGTGAATATGTGGAAATGTTTACGAAAAGAAGGGAAACTTCACGAAGAAACTCATGCCGCCCAAGAAAGTTTTTTTTTCAAAAGTAAATCGGGCTATGCCTATGGTTTTGGAAATGAGAAATCCATTTGAGGAAGAGTTGTTGGATCTTTATAGTTGTTGTCGAAACCAGAACTGAAGAACTGCTATTTAAAAAGGGAGACAGTGGAAAGAACAATATAGAGAAATTCCTTTTAAAAGATGTGAAGATGATAATCCACGTTTTATGAATTTGTTCAGAATAATAAATTTTGCCTACCCGCACCTCAGATCTCCAGATTTCCGCATTATTCCGCATTTTTTCCTCATTTTAATATGGAAAAAATGTTAAAAAAATACTTAGAAAATTAACAATACGGAAAAGCAGAAAATATACAGAAATAATCCGGAAAATAAACGGAAATAATACGGAGAATTGGACTTAGTCTATTTTTCATCTGGAAAAATATTGAACTCTTAACTTATAATATTTTTCATCTGGAAAAAATACGGAGCTCTGGACTTAGAATTTTTTCATCAAGAACAAGATGTGTTTGTGAGACACAGTATCACCTGGCGGCAACATTAAGTTCTAAAAAGCAATTTTTAGCAAATGGGTCTCAGTCAAGGTCACACAATCATTGTTCTTGGTGTCATTTGAAAGCACTTTATTAGTATAGTACGCATACCAAATATTAAGTCTCTATCATCTATGGTTCAAAAGTTATGGTGAAAATTCGAAAAAAGCTATAATTAGCACAAAGGTCACAGTCAAGGTCACAAGGTCCATACATGTTAACCTATTGTGATGAAAAAGAGGGAGATTCAGACCTCAAAAGCGGTAGCATTGCGCGCGTGTTGTTTAACGCTTGGATTATCGATATCTTTCATGTAATATACATGTATATTATAAGCCTTAAATGAAATCAGGTACCTACACTAATTAATCTTAAATATCAACAGCAAAGAAGAAGACAAAAACACCTTAAGTTTGACATAAATTGTACAAATCAAATATTTTTCATGCTCATCATTTTGCTTGGATGGCTGTTTTACTTAGCCTTTTGATGAGTGATCTTTGCTGAAATAGCCTAAAAGCAATAATTCTGAATGTTCATTCAGTTTTTAAACAAAACAAATGATGGCATGGTTTAATCTAGATCTAAAACAAGTTCGTATCTTTCGTTATATAAATCAGATTTCCCGCGATGATCGAAAACGAAAGTAGAGATGTGCCACATGGCTTGGTCAATCGAGTGATTTCTATTGACTTTATTGATAAAGTTGTGAGCTTCTGTGCTTTTAAAGACGATGTCAAATGTTTTCATCTAATTTTTAAAAGCTGTATCTCCTTTTTCATAGCAGGGATGTTGATTATTTATCGTAACCAATGTAATCACTGGTAGTCTTATGTTGTCGTTGTTAAATCCGTGCTTGAAATCTATGTACAAAAAAAGCGTTTGTATGATTCCGAGTCAAATCACGCGATATCTAGCGAGATTTTATGAGAGTGGCTTCAAAAATGGATACCCAAGCGAACCAAAAATACTTTAGACGCAGCTTTTGTAGAAAAGCGGTAGATTTCTGAATTAAATCGGTAGGCGGGAGATGGAGTGAAAAAGCGGTAGACTCCCGCCTAAATCGGGAGAGTTAACATGTATGCAAGGTCATTGACCTTGGTGTCAGTTGAAGGTGCCTAATTAGTGGAGTATGCATACCAAAAAGTTATGGCGAAAGTTCGAAAAAGCTATTTTTAGCATATAGGTCAGTCAAGGTCACTGACCTTGGTGTCAGTTGAAAGTGCCTAATTAGTGCAGTATATGCATACCAAATATGAAGTCTCTATCTCTCACCGTTCAGAAGTTATGGCGAAAGTTCGAAAAAGCTTTTTTTAGCATAAAGGTCACAGTCATGGTCACAAGGTCATTGACCTTGGTGTCAGTTGAAAGTGCCTAATTAGTGGAGTATGCATACCAAATATGAAGTCTCTATCTCTCACGGTTCAGAAGTTATGGTGAAAGTTCGAAGAAGCTATTTTTAGCATAAACTAAGGTCACAATCAAGGTCATAAGGTCATTGACCTTGGTGTCAGTTGAAAGTGTTTTTGTAGTGGAGTATCCATACCAAATATGAAGTCTCTAAGTCTCATGGTTCAAAAGTTATGGCGAAGGTTAAAGTTGACAACAGACAAACAAACAGACAGACATACAGCTAAACAGACAGACAGGACAAAAACAATATGCGCCCCGAAAAAATTTGGGTGCATAAAAACTGTCTTGGAGTTAACAGCAGTTCTCTGTTTCTCCTGAATGTTATGTACAATTTGATCGGGATCGGAAGAATGTTTCAAAAAGTCGGGCTCAGTGATCAATTAATTTAAACAACAGACCGCCAAAATTTAACCTTGGCCTCCATGTTGCAACGTCTGCTCTGCCTAAAGGAAGAAGTTTGTTGACCAGACAGCCTGAGATCGTATTGCTGTATCAACCAAAAGATGCAGATACACGTATTTCATATGTGGTCAGTCATATTTTTTTTTAACATGTGTGTCACTGTGATGATGAAAATAAATACTCTAGGCCTAGGACTGAGCTACCAGGCTACGTACGTTTCAGCCAATATGCCCATGATTCAAATCTTTCAATCAGCTCATAGAATTTTATTATGGTTAACCACAATTAAAGGTGTTAATTTTGGGGAGCCATGGGCTGTAATCTCTAGCAATGATTTACCACACATTTTTTTTTTGGTAGCGTCTGTGCATGAGGAGGAGATTTCTGAAAAAGAATAAGTGCTCATTCAACTTACTGCGATTTTAACGGGCTTAAAGCTTGGTCCATGGATGGTTATGTTTGAGGTATATATATTCTTTTTTTATTGCTTGTTTAATTAAAAACAGTCAACTATGATTGTCATTATTATAAATAATATTTTAAACAAATTGATATAAAATTGAAGAACCCAAACTTGTGTTTATAAAAAGATTTTAAAAGGAATAAAAGCAATGAATTTAAATTTTATTAATATTGCACCATTATAATTTAAGTACTTTTTTTTTAATTGATAGGATTTGCCAATTCGACCGCAAGTGCTGCTGCAAGAAATTAAACATGCAGAGACCTTACAAATTACAAAGAAGTCTGAAGAAAATTTTTATTGGACAGATGGGTGTAAAGCAAAGACCTGAGATATAAATTGAATTGTGAGAAATATGAATCAGGGATGCAGGTAGAAAATGGCAAATGTGATCCAGATTGATAAAAAATGTCTAAAAATTTTTCTTGTTTTGTAAATATTCAATGCTATGTCAATTGTTATTTTTTCCCCAATACCTAATAGTGTTGAACATTTCACTCCCACTTTTGCTTAAATAGAATGAATAAATTTCCATTTATTTAATATGAATATTAAAAAATGCCACATTTTTCCATGATGAACTTGTGGCTCAAATAAGAGTTCCAGTTTTTTTCCATACATGCTCCTATTTGTTTGTCAAAGATATAAGATCCAATACATTGCTCATGAACATAATGTGTAATTTTGTTCATTCATTTATATGTTTTTTTCTCATAATGATATAATAAATTGTATATAATTTTGCACATTGTTGATGGTTTTGTAAATATTTATGTATGTATGCATCATGTAGCGGTTTTATTAGCCATTTTATAACCATGTGATTAACTCCGTATTTTCTCCAGATTTCCGTATTTCCGCATTTTATCAACCAAGTAAATACCTCCATATTTTGTATATATGGAAATGTGGAAATCTGGAGAGAATACGGAAAAAGAGTCCAAATACTCCCATCCACATTTTCTCCATATTTTGAATACGGAGAAAATCTGGAAATTTGAATCTACGAAAATCTGGAATGAATGCGGAAAATTAGTCCAAATACTCCCGTCCGCATTTTTTCCTTATTTTGAATAAGGAAAAAATGTGGAGATCTGAGGTGCGGGTATTTAATCCCAAACATGAATATGATTCTTCAAAGTCAAAGTTGGCAAATTTTGAAGATGACTGTCCCGTTTTTCTAGGTTATTCATTTTCTGTCAGAGTAGACAGTGAGATGTACAAGAATTTTTTGAACATGAAAACTAGGACCCCCCTCTCTCTTTCTTTCACAAAATGGTTTCTTAATACACATGTACGGTGTTAAATCTCAATTAATGCCTATTTGGAAGCAGGTCAAGAGTTGCCAAATAATGTACTTGCAGTTGATTCACTGGTAATTGACAGCACGTCATAAGTCAATTTAAAACAACCTGAAATTTTAACTGCTATGTCAATGTCATTATCCTTTTGCAAATTAATTCTCTTGTAAAAGGTAATTTGAGGGTATAAACTATCTTTGGTGTTCAGAACGACTATAGTTTTAAAGAAGAAACCGAAAACAAGTGTGACATTGGGTCTAAACGAAAAGTAACTGGAAACACTAGACCACCAAAGTCATGGAACACTATTGATTCGCAATTACAGAGGCAACTATCATAGTAATGGAAGAAAATGTTGTCAGTATTAACAAAGCTATAGATACCAACTTAATACCACTTTGCAACTATGAAGATGCTGAAACCCGCATGTTCCTTCATGCAAAACATGCAGCACCGGGTGGTAGCTCGGATACAGATGTTTTTGGTATTAGTGTAACTCTTTTTGATGAATTAAATGTGGATCAGTTATGGATGACACTTTGAAGGGCAAGGATTTTCGATGGATACCAATTCATGATGTTGTTAGATCACTGGAATCATATCGAAGGCATAACCATTCTTTCATGCTTTCACAGGTTGTGTAACAGCGTGGGTATTTGTTTGGAAAAGTAAAAAGACAGCATGGCAGGCCATGAATATGTTTGAAAAGGCCACAGTAATATTCCAATTTTAGAGCACTCCTTGTGACAATTTGAAAGAATTTATAATCAATACAATGGAAGAATTTGTTGTGATCAAGTACGATCAGCAATGGCAATATCGTAAATGGCGCTCGCCTTGCAACCCTCCCTAAACAGCTGCTCGTGTAGAGGATAATAGGAGAACTGAATTCCAGGTTGGTCATTTATAGGGTCAGTCATTATGCAAGTGGCAAAATTTACCCTCATCCTCCAGTTGGGGTTGAGTAAAAAATGCTTATTTTGGATCCCACAACGGACAATCTTGCCTGCAACACTGCATCATGTCAAGAACAACTAAAATATGGGTGTAATATAACTTCAACTGCTTCAGGTCCTGATTACCTTTTATTGCTTTATGTAGGTATACATGGTTTAGAAGATTAAGTCAGTAATGTCATTAAAGCAGTTTTTGTTTGTATTTAAGCGCATGCGCAGTGTGTGTAGATATGAAATGAAGCTCAAATTATATCATATACCAAGTTACCTTTTATTATTTCAGAAAAATTAAAGTATTACCGAGAAACGTTTAAAATATTAGGAAACATATATGAAAACAGGCGCCATTTTGAAATAAGTGGCGGCCATCTTGAAAATGGCCGAAACTTGAGTGGCCAACGATTTTTCTTATTCAAGTAATAGTCAAAGAACCTTCATGCAAAATTTCGTGCTTGTATCCGCAAGTGAAATATTTTCCCCACTATCCGCTCAGCTAACATGACTTTTTAGAGAATTACAGGGAATAAGTATCTAAAAATATGCTCAATTCATGGTACACTATCAATAAAAAGTTTTGAAGACAAAAAAAATATAAAATGTCACCATATGTGCATTAAAATTCTTCAGTGTTTAACACATGAGTCATCTCTGAATTGTAGGTACCGGAATGGAATCCGAGGTCACATGAAGAGTGTGGTACAAGACTTACTGAAACAGTATGTCAGGGTAGAAGTCCAATTTCAACATGGTAAGAATACAGTCACTCATCCTCCCACCCACTTCCAAGTGGCTCAAAGTACATTTATATACAGTAGAACATGGTTTTAGAGAATATGCTTTCAATTAATTTTTTCTCTTGAGCAAAGTGATTTTCATTCTTAGGACTTTAAAACATAATGTTAATGTTAATGGTGAGTTTATCGTACTTTTTAGTATACCATAATCATTTGAATCAAATTACTGTAAAAGCAGAAAAAATTCATTGGGGATTAAATTTTGTCAATTTCGTTGTTAACAATTATCAATGAAATTAAATCCAAATTTATATGACTATACATTGAATAAGGTTACACTCAAAACAACGAAATTACATGCCCACAAAACTATTTTAAATGACAAATCAACAAAATTTTACTCCAACAAAAATTTATGCTTCTACAGTCTGTTAGCAAGGAGAAAAATGAAACCTTTTATTAGGTCACCTGAGTAAACTCAGGTGACCTAGCTATTGCTATCTTTTTTCGTCTGTCTTCGTCGTACGTCGGTCGTAAACTTTTGAACAATTTTAGCTTCTTCTCTGCAACCACTAACCAATTTCAACCAAATTTAGTACAAAGCATCTATGGGTGAAGGGGGAACAAAAGTTGTGAATTTCATGACCCCTGCCCCTCTGGGGCCTGAGGGGTGGGGCAAAACCACTAAAATTAGTGCCATTTTTAAAAATCTTTTTTACTCCTGGACATCAAGCAGTCAAACTGTTTGCATGATTGTAATCAGCATTGAGTCCTCTACCAAAATTGTGAAATTTATGGTCCAAGGGTCAGGGTTCTAGTGCTACAGGGAAGGGCTAAGACAAGTTTATAGTGAAAATGCATTATTTCTTTGAAAATCTTCTCTGGTCCTAGGTAATAAATAAACTAACTAAATACATAGTTATGATGAGCAAGAGTGCCTCTACCAAGATTTTGAATTTTATGGCCCCAGGGTCAGGGCTTCTGGTGTTAGAGTGGGGCTCTCTATAAATTATATAGTGAAAATACATGAATTCTTTGAAAATTTTCTTCTCTGCTCCTGGGTATTAAATAAACTAATTAAAAACATAGTTATGATGACCAAAAGAGCCTCTTCCAGAATTGTGTATTTTAAGGCCCCAGGGTCAGGGGCTCTGGTGTTAGGGTGGGGTTCTATTGATTTTATAGTGAAAATACATGTACATGAATTCTTTGAAAATGTTCTTCTCTGCTCCAGGTTATTAAGCAGATGAACTACTTATAGGCCTATAGTTATGATGAGCAAGAGCCCTTCTTCTAGAATTGTGAATTTCAAGGCCCCATGGTAAGGGGTATTATATAGGGGGGAGGGGGTTTCTACTCTTAAATACTGAAAATGAATTGTTTAAAATCTGTTAGTTTGTATTAATCAAATATTTTTTATATGCAAAAGTGCCTTTTAAAAAATTGTGCAATGAGTGGACCTGGGTTCATAGGGGCACTACTGATTATTGCTGAATATTACTGATTGGTTGAAATGCAAATTTTTCCCCTACTTTGCCTATGGCCGGGTTTTAAGTAGCCAAACTAAGCAATTGTAAAGTATATAGTTATGATTAGCAATGGTGCCTCTTTCAAAATTGTGAATGTCATAGCATCTGGCTTAAAATATGAACCGAATTCAATCACTGGAAAGTTGTTGCATGATACTCATGTAACTTACTAGTATAAGGCCCATGGGCCTCTCGTATTATTAACAAACCATAATTATCCATGTGTGAATTAAAATATGGTAGCACTGGGGAAAAATCAGTTCTTATTTATTTAACTTTGTACATGTATATACATGTATGTATTTTAATGGATTTCCTTTTGACAGGTCACTATGACAAGTGTATAGCTCAGCTAATATCTAAGACTAAGGACATGTCCGCAGTGGCTGGTAGCATCTTCTCTCATCTGGCCGTACAGAAGAAAAACATCCTCATCACCATGCTCATTGTAAGAATTGTCAAATTTAGAATTGCATTTCTCTTCATTTCAAACTTCTGCAGTATTTCCTTGATACAGATTGTTTTCATACTATATAACTTTCTCACCAAAAATGGCTTAAATATTGCTTACTGTGCATTAAATCCTGAATTAAGTATTGAATAATGAATAAAATAAATTGAAGCTATAAAGTGAAGAGAGAAAGAGGAACTTCAAAATCTAGAAATAATTGCAACCATTATGATGTTATTATAGGACCACCTGTGCAAGAAAGAAGCGGGTCTGACTGATGAGCTGGCCTCCATACTGACTGAGCTCACCACACTGAACAATGCAGAGAACGCTAAAGTAGCTCTCAGGGCCAGACAGGTATTACAACCCTTTATAAACAATGTCATTATTATCATACAAAATATTCATTTTTTATATGCATATCAATCTCACTGCCAACTAGGTCTCTGTGGATCAAGGTATTTTAGGTTGTGCAATTTTTCCCCATTCACAAAAGAATTTTTTAAATAGATATTTTGCTAATAAATACTGATATCCATAATATATACAATGAACTTTAAAATATGTATATTGTTTGTAATTTGATTTGGATTAATTTGTCCAGGTGTTGATAGCAGCTCACACTCCCCCTTATGAACTACGACATAACCAGATGGAATCCATCTTCCTGTCGGCCATTGATATGTATGGACCAGAGTTCAATCCAGAAAATCTACAGGTCTGGCAAATTTCTCTCACATGATCTTTATCTTCTCAGTTAAATGTCCTTGTCACTCAACAGAAAAAAAGTATTGGAAAGTAAAAATTAAGATATGTCTCCATGTTCAATGTTAAAACTTTCTTGTACATGTATTTAGAAGAGAAAGGCTTATTTGGATTTCTTGTATGACGTAAGCTTTCAAGGTTACCGTAATTTTTTGTTGTTTTTTGCATGAAAATTTCTTGATCTAAGTTTAGATTTTGTTGTTTTTGTGACTTATTTCTCATGATTTATCACAATTCATGAAAATTTTTAAAAAATGAAGAATCTACAAAAGGGATAAAAATTAGAGAATCAGGTATTTTTAAAGTCTATATCAATCAATTTATGTTCTATAGAACGTTTAAGCCAGTATATATTATTTATCATCAAGAATTATATCCCCTACCTGGTATATGCATGCATAATTACATGTATCCATATCAGCACTTCAAATTTTTTAGTACATACCTAATATGTAAATAATAAGACATATATGTAAAAGAGAGAGTTCATAGGAAATAATGCAGTAAATTGTGACTATTAATTTGTGTTTTCAGAAAATCATCCATTCAGAGACAGCCATTTATGACATCCTTCAGGAATTCTTCTGGCACACTAACAACCTGGTCAGATCTGCTGCCTTAGAGGTGAGAACAAGACAGTCAGTGTCAGGTTAGATCTGCTGCCTTAGAGGTGAGAACAAAGCAGTCAGTGTCAGATCAGATCTGCTGCCTTAGAGGTGAGAACAAGGCAGTCAGAGTCGGGTCAGATCTGCTGCCTTAGAGGTGAGAACAAGGCAGTCAGAGTCAGGTCAGATCTGCTGCCTTAGAGGTGAGAACAAGACAGTCAGAGTCAGGTCAGATCTGCTGCCTTAGAGGTGAGAACAAGACAGTCAGAGTCAGGTCAGATCTGCTGCCTTAGAGGTGAGAACAAAGCAGTCAGGTCAGATCTGCTGCCTTAGAGGTGAGAACAAAGCAGTCAGAGTCAGGTCAGATCTGCTGCCTTAGAGGTGAGAACAAAGCAGTCAGAGTCAGGTCAGATCTGCTGCCTTAGAGGTGAGAACAAAGCAGTCAGAGTCAGGTCAGATCTGCTGCCTTAGAGGTGAGAACAAAGCAGTCAGTGTCAGGTCAGATCTGCTGCCTTAGAGGTGAGAACAAAGCAGTCAGAGATCAGATGAGAACAAAGCAGTCAGAGTCAGGTCAGATCTGCTGCCTTAGAGGTGAGAACAAAGCAGTCAGTGTCAAGAACTGATTTTCATATTGACAGTTTCATGAACCTGGTTTCTGAGGAAAAAAAATCTTTTTTCTTCAATTCTTTATTCTAAGGTTCCTCTGGTCAATCATAGGAAATTTTGCTTCAAAGATTATGACTTTTTAAAAGATTCAAATTATGTTTTGTAATTTTGCTATACAAAATATTGACAACTTTGGCCCTTTAACTTGACAATTCCATATTTAATAGTAATCAGATATTTAGATGAGAGTTATCTCTCTTAGCAGAGGGTGTAGGAACTTTAAAGAATACTTTTCTGTGCACTTTCTACAAATAATTTTTGTAAATACTGTAATGTTTTGTATTGTAGGTGTACATAAGGAGAGCGTACATTGCGTATGAGGTGAACTGTCTCCAGCACAGAGAACTGAATGGGGACATGTCAATGGTGGAATTCAGGTTCCTTCTCCCCAGGTCACACCCCAACAGGTAACAGATGATGAAGACATTTAGACAGTCAAAATACCTAATGAAAATAAAAAGAAAGAAATTCGGAATCTGCATTTACTGTTTTGTTGTCATTTATGTAATAAGGATCAGATTAAAGTTTAAAATTTTTAACTTGATTTTGTCACTGCTCAAAGGTATGCTTTCACATTCGTCATTGTATATTACTAAGAGTAAGGGAGGTATCTATTTTGATTATTGATTATAACAATAAACCAGTTAATTGTGTTGTTAATTATCAGGCTGATGGTGATGCGTTATGACAGCAGTGACAAGGTGTCGGGTCTGTCAGACCCTGAGGCCCACATCGATCAGCTGGAGGAACTGCCCACCTGTCAGAGAATGGGCATCATGGCCTCATTTAACTCCATGGCTGAATTCGAAATGTGAGTAGTGTTTAACTACATGCTGGAGATTGAATACAAAAAATTAACTATCCATCATCAGTTTTGTAGAAGGTTTAATTTTCATTGTTTGGGAGGTATGAAGAGACCATGAAATCATGTCCACCACCAACAAATATAACTACTATCCATTCTTCATTCACAAAATTAAATCTTTGTCAACCCACATTTTTTCAAAATTTTTGAAAATGTGATCCTCTGAAAATATATAATTAAGATTTTACAGTATATCAGCTGATAATTCAGCATCCATTTTGATAAAAAAAAATTTTAATTTTGGTATGATGTTGATTTAAGTTTATTAATTTCATATTTCCTATTTGTAGCCACTTTGAGCAGGTGTTGGAGTGCTTTACAGTGGAGTCAGACAGCCCACCTAGCAGTCCCACTATACTGGCCAAGAGTCCCGCCGGCAACGAGGACTCCATCTCTCTTCATGTCAGTGTAATTTCTTGTACCTTCTGATATAAAAAAAAATAAACAAGAAGGAAAAAGTTTTTTAAAAATACTGTAAAGTTGCTGTCACCTGCTGCATAGGTGCCAGAGAACCAATTTTATTTAATTTTCTTTACAGAGTTCCTCAGATCCAGATGAACCTATTCATATCATCAATGTAGGAATTAAGTTCAGCAAAAAGGAGAAGTATGATGACAATGCCCTGGCAGTCAAGTTCCAGGATTTCTGTAAAGAGAGGGTATGGACTCAATTCATTAAATCCAGGCAGAACTTGAAGCTGCAGTTCTCTGTTATAAATCCATTATTATGAGTTTAGTTTAAGATAATTGAATGTTGTGTCTTGTGATGTTTTTAGGAGCAGTATCTGTGTGAGAAGGCCATCAGAAGAATCACATTCCTAGTCTACTGTAGGGTAAGTCTCAAAATGAACTTTTTCACTGTTATTTCTGTAAGGTTGGTTTCAAAAAGTTTGCTATAGGATAGGTCTAGAATGAACGCTTTCACCGTGATTGAATTTAAAAAAATAATTTGTTTTACAAGTTTAATTTTGTATGTGTAAAGAAGTGAATGTTGATGTGTGTATTTTACATTTATAATTAATTTGAATTTTATTTTCTCTTTCAGAGAAGTTCCCCAAAATATTTCACATATCGTGCCAAGTTTGATGTAAGTAAATGACAACATGGTAGCCAAAAAAAAAATTGTTTATATACTTTCAATGATGTAAATAAAACACATGAAAACAATGGAATGTGTTTCAAGAAACGTCCAGTTCCTTTGAATGCTTCAGACTGTCATAATCACAATGTTTATTTTTAGTTTGGTGAGGACAGGATTTACCGACATTTAGAGCCCGCCCTGGCCTTCCAGCTGGAGATCAACAGACTGAGGAACTTTGACCTGGAGGCCATTCAGACCAACAACTACAAGATGCACCTATACCTAGGAAAAGCTAAGGTAGAATTTAACTCTTTTCTGATCAAAGAAAGAGAACTCTTACAGTAAATAAAATTCATATAAAGACCCACCTCATTTTTAAACGATTCAAATGTCTGAAAATTAGTGAATGAATGTGTCTTATATTCTTGAAATCATATTATTTTAAGCTTTTTGCTCTGCATATATTTGTTGGAAATTAAAGTTGATTGAAAAATTTCAGAAAGTAAATTAGTTGCAGACTCTGTACAAAGTTGATTGTATCCAACAATCTTAAAAGGGACATAACTCTGTAAATTGCATGCTAAATGTTCTTGTTTATTGTCTGGACAATCAATTTCTGGGTTACATTATAATCTTGTTTGTTTATTGTATAACAGGTGGCAGCGGGACAGGAAGTGACAGATTACAGATTCTTTGTGAGGGTCATCATCAGGCACTCTGACCTTGTCACCAAGGTAACGTTGCACACAATGAATAGGCACAAGAATTATTCTTCTCGAAAGAAAAAATGAATTTGTTTTGATGCAAGAACAGTTACAAGATATTGTCTGATCTGTACAATCTTGTGCACAGGCATCTTTGCACTTCTTTATTTTCCTTCCCCCTTTATTCTTAATTTTACAATAAGCAAAAATCCAGTTGAACCATGTGTTTCTTGTCAAAGTTGTCATATATTTGTGTGTCTGTATATATGGCATCATCTGAAATTTTTGTACTCTTTTTTTAAACAAAGACGGGCCTTTAGTTACACTCTACTGACAAAACTTTGATGCTTTTATTTCATTAGGAGGCGTCTTTTGAGTACTTACAAAATGAAGCAGAGAGAACCCTCCTTGAGGCTTTAGATTCATTAGAAGTGGCATTCTCACATCCACTGGTGAGTAAGAGATTGATAAGTACTGTATTTTCATTGATTTGAATGTTGTTTTTAGGGGGAAAAATTGTACGTGTAGGAAGTAAATTTCAAGGATAGGAAACACACAAGATATAGTAGATTGCAATTTCAACATTTTATGGAGGACATGAATTCTTATATCTCTACGTACCTTGAAGAATTCAAAATTAAAATTAGTTATTTTATAGTACTTCAGAATTGAGCAAAGTGATGTATTGAGTTTGTATCGGAATCCACATTCATGATACTAATTAGATCTTGTGTTATAATTCCAGTCCAAGAAGACTGACTGTAACCACATATTCCTGAACTTTGCACCAACTCTGACCATTCCTGAACCAGGCAAGGTAAAATCAACATTACCATGTAATAGACTCATGTTTTATAAATATCACTGGTTTTCTGACCATTCCTGGTTACTACCATTGTGAATTTACTATAATCATGTGTCATTATATCTCGACAGCTGGAGGAGACAGTCAGAGCTATGGTGATGAGATACGGCAGTCGTCTCATGAAGATGAGAGTTCTCAATGCCGAGCTCAAATTCACTATAAAGTAAGACTACTTCTTGATGCTCAAACTTTTTAGAAGATGAATATTTTTTGGGTTTTACATATGTAAAACTTTGGAGATGAAAATCCTATAATTTTTAAGCTTCAAGCATACATAGAGTATTTGGGTATATTTTAAGGTTTGCCTCCAGTGATACAAGCATTCCTATTCGTCTGTTCTTGACCAATGAGAGTGGATATTACTTGGACATGAGCATGTATAGGGAGGTCACAGATCCTAACATGGGACAAGTAGGTGTCATTTCACTTACTTTCTAATGACATATTATGCATGTTCAGTGTATGTTAATTTTTACCAAAATTAAATCTTAATTATAACTTAAATCGGAGAAGGGATGGAATGTGTAGATATATGCTGGGTTAGATGGGGATATTAAGGGCAATTGTTCTTAGTGTTTTTGCCCTTCATCGACATTTTCTGCATTTTAATTGTGTTTTGAGAATTGATTTCATACTGTTCAGATTAAGACTACATATCAGTCATTACCCCCTTATAACCCTATAGTAATTGTACCTGTATTTTGAAGCAGTCCCTAAAAATATCTAGACAGAGATTTTCTCTAAACTTGGCAAGTATACTGTTGTAGTCAATGTAAGTTATATATGGTACAAATGTAAAGAGTTTGTCTGCTGTAGTTTTCACACAGTTTAACTCCAGTTGGCTCCTTTAAGCATATGTATCAAATTCTGAGTACCTTATGTAGGTGATGTTTGAAGCCTATGGAACAAAACAAGGGGCCCTTCATGGTCTACTGATCAGCACCCCCTACCCCACAAAGGACCATCTACAGTGGACCCTCATTTATCCGGACGCTTTGGTGCCCAGTCAATTTGTCCGGATATGTGAAGCATCCGGATATCTGAATCTCCAGTTAAACAAGACAGAATAACATTTTTAAATTTCGTTTCAATGGAAAATCGTCCGGATACTGAAGCATCCGGATATCTGGTGTCCGGATATCTGAAGGTCCACTGTACAGCTAAAGAGATTCCAGGCCCAGTCAAGCGGAACAACTTATGTCTATGATTTTCCAGGAATGTTCACTCAGGTATCATTGAAATTGACATTGGCTTAAAATAAGATAAAACATCTATGGAAAAAGCAACATTATGACAGCATTTATCAAGGAAATTGATATCCTCAAGAAATTTTTATACAGATTATGTTATAATTATAATGGTTACTTTTGGAACAAGAAAATTAAGTCCCGGTGTTATCATTTTTTCAACCAAAAATACCTGCTTCCATGTTTTCATTTTTTCAACATATTTCATAATTAAAAGTTAAAAAAAGAACAGAAAGGTGATAAGTAACAGAATTTTTGTGGGATGACTGTTACGAATCATATCTCTCTCTTTCAGGCCTTACAGAAGTTTTGACTTTGTTCTTCTGTATTTCAGGCCTTACAGAAGTTTTGGAAGGATCACCGAGAGGAAAACAAGATTCCAGCTGATGCCTTCAGTTGTATAGAGCTGGTCCTTGATAAAGACAACAATCTGTGTAAACAGAACAGACTGCCAGGGGAAAACGAGGTTAGACTGTAATACTGATACAAATCTGTTTTCTGTTCACATCTGAAGATAAAATCATTGGATGTCAGGGTTGATTTAAATGTTATCCCCTGATGGACATGTTAACTTTTAGATTGGAATGGTGGCCTGGCAGATGACCTTGAAGACACCAGAATGTCCAGAGGGTCGTGACATCATTGTTATATCTAATGACATCACATACAAGATTGGCTCCTTTGGACCTGTAGAGGATCTCCTGTTTAAGGTATCATCCTGTGTGATAAAGCTGATATATCTTTGTAAAAATTCTAAAGAGGGGCATGAAACAGAGTGCTTTGAAATTCTAGAGGTGGAATCAGGTGCTTAGAAGGAGAAAGCATCCCCCTTTTGATTTTGAATCTAATTAATGTCTTTCAAATATGTATTATTGACTAAATAATTAGGTTTCTTTGTCCAATCAATAGTTTATTCATTGAAAATCACCTTTCAGAAAGCCTCAGAGAAAGCCAGGAGAGAGGGACTTCCCCGAATCTTCATCTCAGCTAACAGTGGAGCCAGGATAGGGCTGGCTGAGGAGATCAAACACCTGTTTAAGGTGGCCTGGAATGACCCCAAAGATATAGAAAAGGTAGGCTCAGCTTATAAAGGTGGCCTGGAATGACCCTAAAGATATAGAAAAGGTAAGGCTTAGCTTACAAAGGTGGCCTGGAATGACCCTAAAGATATAGAAAAGGTAAGGCTTAGCTTACAAAGGTGGCCTGGAATAACCCTAAAGATATAGAAAAGGTAAGGCTTAGCTTAAAAAGGTGGCCTGGAATGACCCTAAAGATATAGAAAAGGTAAGGCTTAGCTTATAAAGGTGGCCTGGAATGACCCTAAAGATATAGAAAAGGTAAGGCTTAGCTTATAAAGGTGGCCTGGAATGACCCTAAAGATATACAAAAGGTAAGGCTCAGATTATAAAGGTGGCCTGGAATGACCCTAAAGATATAGAAAAGGTAAGGCTTAGCTTATAAAGGTGGCCTGGAATGACCCCAAAGATATAGAAAAGGTAAGGCTTAGCTTATAAAGGTGGCCTGAAATGACCCCAAAGATATAGAAAAGGTAAGGCTCAGCTTATAAAGGTGGCCAGGACTGACCCTTAAGATATAGAAAAGGTAAGGCTCAGCTTATAAAGGTGGCCTGGAATGACTCCAAAGATATAGAAAAGGTAAGGCTCAGCTTGTAAAAGTGGCCTGAAATGACTCCAAAGATATAGAAAAGGTAAGGCTTAGCTTGTAAAGGTGGCCTGAAATGACTCCAAAGATATAGAAAAGGTAAGGCTTAGCTTACAAAGGTGGCCTGGAATGACCCCAAAGATATAGAAAAGGTAAGGCTTAGTTTATAAATGTGGCCTGGGATGACCCTAAAGATATAGAAAAGGTAAGGCTCAGCTTATAAAGGTGGTCTGGAATTACCCCAAAGATATAGAAAAGGTCAGGCTCAGCTTATAAAGGTGGCCTGGAATGACCCTAAAGATATTGAAAAGGTAAGGCTCAATTTATAAAGGTGGCCTGGAATGACCCCAAAGATATAGAAAAGGTAAGGCTTAGCTTATAAAGGTGGCCTGGAATGACCCCAAAGATATTGAAAAGGTAAGGCTCAGCTTATAAAGGTGGCCTCCAATGACCCCAAAGATCTAGAAAAGGTCAGGCTCAGCTTATAAAAGTGGTCTGGAATTACCCCAAAGATATAGAATAGGTCAGGCTTAACATATTGACTCACCACTGACGATATACAATAAAACATGGTAACAGAGAACAAGCTTTCATTGAAGTGATTTTTATTTCCTGTAGTTTTAAAGTACATTTTGAACTTAGAGAATATATTAAATGAGTAAAAATTGTTTGTTTGTGTAACTGTGCTGTAAGAATGAGTTACTGTATTACAATATAGATGATGCAGCCAAGAGGTAGCTATAGAAAACTACATAGATTTTAGGTGTCAAGTGAATCACACAGTAAAATTACTTTAAAGTTGCATACTAATGAAGCAGTTTTGTTTGTTTCTAGGGATTTAAATACCTGTACCTGACCCCTGTAGATTTTAAGAAAGTTAGTGCCATGAATTCCGTCCATGCTGAACTTATAGAAGATGAGGGAGAACCCAGATATAAAATTATTGACGTTATTGGTAAGTCCTTCATTTGACCAAAACATTTTTCTTTGAGCTCAAGATTGCTGTTCATGAGAACAAAGTAATGTTATAAATCCAATTTTTGTTATATTTACAGGTAGAGAGGAAGGACTGGGGGTAGAGAATCTAAGAGGATCAGGAATGATTGCTGGGGAATCATCTATAGCTTACAATGATATCATTACAATCAATTTGGTAAGTGCCTTGACTGTTTTATTGTTACTTATAGAATGAAACTAATTTAGAGGCTGAAAAAAAAAGTAAGGAAATGCAAAAGGGAATTCATATTGAAAGGCCCTACAGATTAGCTCTGAGTTTAAGACTATATATGAATGATGTTCTGTATATTTAGGTAACCTGTGGAGCTATAGGTATTGGTGCCTTTCTGGTTTGTGTGTAGCTTACATATTGTTCCATATTCATGTAATAGGTGCCTATCTGGTTTGTTTATTGCTTAATGATTGTCTGTTCTATATGTAGGTAACCTGTCCAGCTGTAGGTATCGGTGCCTATCTATTTGTAGCTTAGGCTATCAAAAATTTCTTGGTTCTCAGGCCAATTTCCTCCCAAACAGATGCGGAAGGGCTGCATTTTATTTTTCATTTTATTGGCAATAAAGTGGAAGAGGGAGGAATTTTTTTTATTTTAATTTCCGAATTTTCTTTAACATAAAGATAATTTTTCTAATCACAAATATACTTTCCATTTCTGGTCAAAATTTCTGCTTTATCAATTGCTTAACAGCGTGTAAACATCGTAGGTAATGTCCTTGAATGTATTTTCAAACGAAGTAGCCAAAATCTCATTGTAAATGGCTACCGGAAGTGATATTTGAATACTAAACTACGAAACAAATGAGGTCGGAAATTTTTTCCCCGGATTGGTCTCCGCAATTAGTCTAAATACCAACTTTTTATTTTATCAAAAATGCAATAAAATTGGCAATGCCGCTACCTCAAAATGGATGTGCCCGGGCCTGAGAACCAAAATTTCAAGTTTTAGCTCACCTGAGGCGAAGGCTCAAGTGAGCTTTTCTGATTACATTTTGTCCGGCGTCCGTCTGTCTGTCTGTCTGTCTGTCAGTCTGTCCGTCTGTCCGTAAACTTTTCACATTTTCGACTTCTTCTCAAGAACCACTGGGCCAATTTCAACCAAACTTGGCACAAAGCATCCTTGGGTGAAGGGGATTCAAGTTTGTTCAAATGAAGGGCCACGCCCTTTTCCAAGGGGAGATAATCATGAATTTGTTAAAAATTAATGGCATTTTTAAAAAATCTTCTTCTCCAGAACCGCTGGACCAGGAAAAATGAAACTCATGTGGAAGCATCCTCAGGTAGTGTAGATTCAAATTTGTTCAAATCATGACCCGCAGGGCAAGGGTGGGGCAAAAACGGCCGACCAAATTTTTACATAGGAATATAAAGGAAAAATCTTTAAAAATCTTCTTCTTCAGAACCACTGGGCCAGGAAAGACGAAACTCATGTGGAATCATCCTCAGGTAGAGTAGATTCAAGTTTGTTCAAATCATGACCCCCGGGGCAAGGGTGGGGCCAAAATGGCCGACCCAAGTTTTACATAGGAATATATAGGAAAAATCTTTAAAAATCTTCTTCTCCAGAACCCCTAGGCCAGGAGAGATGAAACTCATGTGGAATCATCCTCAGGTAGTGCAGATTCAAGTTTGTTCAAATCATGACCCCCGGGGCAAGGGTGGGGCCAAAATGGCCAACCCAAGTTTTAAATAGGAATATATAGGGAAAATCTTTAAAAATCTTCTTCTCCAGAACCACTGGGCCAGGAGAGATGAAACTCATGTGGAATCATCTTCAGGTAGTGTAGATTCAAGTTTGTTCAAATCATGACTCCCGGGGGTAGGGTGGGGCCAAAATGGCCGACCCAAGTTTTACATAAGAATATATAGGAAATTTTTTTTATTAAATCTTCTTCTCCAGAACCTCTGGGCCAGGAAAGATGAAACTCATGTGGTAACATCCTCAGGTAGTGTAGATTTATGTTTGTTCAAATCATGACCCCGGGGGCAAGGGTGGGGCCAAAATGGCCGACCAAAGTTTTACATAGGAATACATAGGAAAAATCTTTAAAAATCTTCTTCTCAAGAACCATTGAGCCAGGAAAGATGAAACTCATGTGGAATCATCCTCAAGTAGTGCAGATTCAAGTTTGTTCAAATCATGACCCCCGGGGCTAGGGTGGGGCCAAAACCGACGAACCAAGTTTAACATAAGGAAATATAGGGAAACCTTTTAAAATCTTCTTTTCAAGTACTTCAAAGCTTAATATGATTAGTGATATTTATATGGAATCATCCTCAGGTAGTGTACATTCTAGTTTGTTCAAATGATGATCGCCTGGAGGGGGGAGGGGAGTAAATTCAAGCCTGATGTGCTCAGGTGAGCGCTGTGGCCCCTGGGCCTCTTGTTTATGGCCTTACAGATTGTTCTTTATTTAGGTTACTTGTCGAGCTATTGGTATAGGTGCCTATCTGTAGCCCTTTTCACAAAAAATCGTAAGTTTTGTCCTAAATTTTTGACCTACGAATATCGTAAGTCATTTCCTAAGTCGTTTTCACAAAACCACTCGTAAGTGAAAAAATTATTCTTAAGTTATTTTATAAGATTTCGATCTGCGAACACACTTACGATAACACTTACGACAAAAGCTGTCTTAGCAACACACTTTCGTTTTTAACGCGGCTGCGCATTTAGAGGTTCCGGTGTCATATTCGTCTGCTAACAATAGAAAATGGAAAACACCGAAACGAAGTTTCGACGCAAGCCTAATTGGATTTCCGAAGAACTCGAGGCCTTGGCCCAGGCGGTGTCGGACAACATAGCAACCATAAGAGGAAAATTCACCCCTGGGCTCACAAATAGCCATAAAAACCAATGCTGGTTAAAGATAGCTGAAAGGTGAGTTAGGGATTTGGCACGACGCAGCTGTAATTCGTTGACATACTTTGTTAACTTTCTTTTTTAGCCTTATTTAAGAGCTCTTTATTTAAAACAAAAGCAACAAACACTTCAAAGTTTTTAGTGAACAATTATGAATGCCTTAGGAAATATGACTATGAGACTATGGTAATGTAACAGGAAAGGAGAAAATGTATGGCTGGACCGGGAATCGAACCCGGGACCCCTGTATCACTAGTCAGGTGCTCTACCTACTGAGCTATCCAGGCCGATATCCACAGCCCTAACCATTACATTCCTCCCTCCTTAAAGGTCTTTGGCCCTCCAAAGACCCCAACCCAGGCTCATCCCTGGCAGGTCTTTCACCTGTCAATTCCAGGGCATGGCACGGCATCAAATCTGTAACAGGAAAGGAGAAAATGTATGGCTGGACCGGGAATCGAACCCAGGACCAGGCATGGGGTAATCGTAATCGAGTAATCGTAATCGATTGTAATGATTACTTTTTTTCAAGTAATCGACAGTAATCTGTAATCGAAGAGATTTTTGATTACTTGTAATCGTAATTTAATCGATTACAGCTAAATTTTCCAATGTAATTATAATTACTTTTTCGATTACTTTCAATTACTTTATACATATTTACACATCTACTTTATACATGAATGTTAATTTGTAGAATCATTTCCAGTCAGTCAAACATAAATATTATATACAAACCACTCAGTGATTTTGTTGATATCCTAACTTTTATGATCATAATTTGAATAATGTTCACAATAAATTTGCATTATTTACACACTATTATTTTCTTTTTCATATCTTAGATGCTGATAACTTTGTCTTCTGACAGAAAATAATATATCAAGAATACATTTGAGTGTTTTTATATGAAAACAAATTATCTTACATTTAACCTACAACCTACATTGTACTACATAATACCTTAAAGAAAAATAAGAGGAAAATACTTATATCTTTTGTGTTTTAAATTTGCAAAATCATTTCCATTTTTAAATTCAACATGAACTTGTTTTGTAAATGAGTGTTTGTATTTTAAATTAAAAAGAGAGGGGTGTTAACTGTCACTGTGTTTATCTTGGTTAATTGGCAGGGATATCCCTGACTGCAGATAATGAGGTGTGAACTGTGAACTTAGTATTTTATAATTAATAAAGCCTTAATATACAAACAATCTTATAGAACAATTGTTAGCTCTCAAAACAATCATTTCAGCACAAAAAATTGTGCTATTAGATATATACTTAAAGGTACATTGAGTTTACATGCTCATTTCTAAGAGCTCTAATTTATTTATTTTTCAAAATTATGAAAACACGGGTTGTGTAAATGCATACTACCACTTGCAGAATATTCAAATGCTTGTAAATCACTGTAAAATATTAAATAATTTCTGCAACAATCAAAAGATTTTAAATGTGGAGGTTCAAACACAAACTGTGTAAATACTTTCAAACTTCAGAGGATATAATTAACATAACTACATAATATTAAAATATTTTTTCTGCTTTGATATTTGAGAATGGAAGAAAATTGAAAGTAATCGATTATTAATTGATTACATTGTCTTAAGTAATCGATTACAATCGATTACAGGACAAAACTGGCTGTAATCAATTATTAATCGATTACACAAAATTCCTCAAAGTAATCGATTATTAATCGATTACATTTTTCAGTAATCGTGCCCATGCCTGCCCAGGACCCCTGTATCACTAGTCAGGTGCTCTACCTACTGAGCTATCCAGGCCGATATCCACAGCCCTAACCATTACAGTAAACATGCATTAATATATGTATGAAACATTTTATCAATAAACTACATAACACTATATAGATTAAAAAAAAAAAAAAGCAAACTGCGGCATGCTTCTACTGCAATGGATATTTTTCCAGCTGATTGAAAAACATGGGGTACAGATAAGATAAGATATTTTTTATTACTAATTCAGTGCCCAAATGAGCATAAAGAGTACAAACCAACAAGAGAAAGGCCTAATATAGGCCCTATAGTTGACAGAAAAAGGAAAAAACAAAACAAAACATTTAGGACATACATGGTTAACCTATACAAACATGTACATAAAATAGACATATAACTCTTATCAATAACGCTATGTAGTATAAATACTCTTTATTACATCGGGTTCGGGGTTGGATTACGTAATTACAGGTCTCCTATTTTTAGCGCCTTTCTTCTACCCGACACTGACGAGCATAGACGTACATCCGTCCCTCTCTGGTGTCTTCGGGGTTTGAGGCCATTCTTACCCTTGGTAAGCCTGATTATATTTAGTATATTGAGATATACAACATTGGCGACGAGGATAATTCGGTTATATTTTTTTTTTTCTGATCAGGTGAAATTTACAGTTTACCGTAGTCACTCAGCCATTGGCGCCAAATTCAAAACAAAACACAATTCGATTTTTTTTCGTTCTTTACTGATTCTTTTTGGTTTCACAATTTATTTCATTTTACAATCACTGGTTGTTTACACAACTAGTATTTTTTTTGTTTGCTTGGTATTTTTTTTTTCTCACAATGGGTTCAATCAATTTGCAAACAGCTTCAGAATTTGAAATGTCAAAGATCTTAGATGAACGTACTATAACTGATGTTATAGGAATAAGAAAACGATATGAGTTAAATGCAAATATACTGGGTAAATGTACAGATGTATCAGAGAAACAATGGAAAAAATGGGAAGACAATGGAGTAGTGTCTTTTGGGGGTGCTACTAGTTTAGATTCCGATGTGTTCTATGGCATGAGAGATCAAGATACTAGCATGAGAGAGATGAGTGTTAAGTTAGAGAAACAGGAAGAGCAGTTGCAGTTAGAGAGAGAGAAAAGAAAGAAAGCAGAGTTTGCTTTAGAACAAGAAACACAGCAGAAAAAATGGTTAAGTGCTATGCCACCAGATAGCATTTACACAAGAAAACACTCTGACAATAAACAATCAGACACAAAACAAAACAGAAAAAGCAAAAATCAAGATAGCAAAGACAAACATATTCATTCAAGATCAAGCATGTTTGACAGCACACATGATGACAACACAAGAGGTAGAAAGCATCACAGAAAACCAAGATATCAGTCTTCTTCTTCCTCCTCATCTTCACGATCCTCCTCTTCTTCTTCCTCTAGTAGTGACTCTGACTATGACAGACGCCATCACAGACGCAGACACAGACAAAAAAGTCGCAGTCCAACATCAAAATTACACACATTTAGTGGTGACGGAAAGATCAGCTGGGACACATTCATCACACAATTTGAAAAGGTAGCTGACAGACATGATTGGGGAAAAAAGAAACGTACTGACAAATTGTTCACTAGTTTAGAGGGGGAAGCCTTAGAATATGTCTGTAAACTTGATCTAGACAGCTATAGAAAGATTAAAAAGGAAATGAGTAGGAGGTTCAATACTAAAGAAAACCCAATCTCAGCTAGACGCAAGCTGCAGTACATGAGACAACATGAGGAGGAATCACTTCAACAATTTGCACAAAGAGTTCACTTCATCACCATCGATGGCTACAAAGAATCGGGAAAAAGAGCAGTAAATCAAATCTCAACAGAAAACTTTCTTAGAGGATGCAGAGATAAAGAAGCTGCCAGGACTGTGATGGAAAAGAATCCAAAGGACATCCATGAAGCTCTAGATCTCATGAGAACATCTATCGCAAATCAACAAGCAGTTTATGGATCTAGTAAGCCCTATTATCACAGACAAGTCTCTTTTGAATCATCACCAGTACAACAAGCAAAAAAGTTGGAACAAATGGAAGACAAAATTTCAAAACTCACAGACATGGTCTTCAGCATTAAACAAACATTGGATGACAAATTATCAAATACTGGGGTTTCAAGAACTACACAAGGGTTCGAATCTAGGTCAAGGTCAAACAGTCCTATAAATTACGGTCGACCCTTCAGATCAAACAGTCCTATAAATTACAGTCAACCCTTCAGATCTAACAGTCCCTTCAAAAACACTCAGAATTCAACAATGCAAAACAAGTCATTTCAAACATCTAGATCTCCATCTCCATTCAAATACAGAACACCAAGTCCATACAGATCTACTCCAACAAAACCACATTCCTCTACCAACTCCCCAAACTCTTCAGAAAATTTAAACGCCAAGTAACCAGTCTAGCTGACCGTAGCCTGGTTAACGATGAAAAACAAGGTCAGGATCTTCAAATAAATGTTAATCAAAATTCAAAAGGTTTGACTCTGGAGATTCCTTTTGTTGTCCATGGCCATCAAACAACAGCAGTTGTTGACACAGCAGCTATGGTGACCTTGGTCAATAAGAGCATTTTCCCGGGTGAAAGCAATTCCATTCTAGCTTCACAAAGCATGACAATAAAAGGTTTAGGTGGAAACGAAGTAACGGGGCAACTGTACAAAAATGTTTTGTGTCAGATAGGGACTCAATCATATTCTATCGATATGTGTGCAGTTGACATGAAAGATACAGTAATTTTGGGCTTAGACTTTTTAGAGGCCAATCACTGTGTTATTGATCTTAGGAGAAACATCTTAGAAATTGGCAAACAAACAGTTACAGCAAATATAAAGAACATACAAGGTGAACAAATCAAAGTTGCAAGGGTAACTGTTCAAAGTAGATCTGTCATACCAGCAAATTCAGTGGGGTTTGTCAGTTGTGCTCTAAGTAGGCCCCTAGACTCCAATTTCATAGTAGAACCCTTTGATTCTTCAGAATTTCTGTGTTCTTCAGTTCTGGGTGAAGGTGAAACTCTGAAAGTGAAAGTTGTCAATGATTCAAACAAAACTGTGAAATTAAAAGTAGGTCAACACATTGCAAATGCAGAGCCAGTTGAAGTTGTGACAAACGAAACAGATCCCCAACTTGTCATTAACAGAACATCCCTTGATAATAACACACCCACAAATCTAGCACTACCTAGTCATGTTCAAGATCTTTTTGATAGGTCAAGTGTAGGATTAGATAATGAACAGGTCAAAATGTTAGGGTGTTTATTACAAGAATATTCAGACATATTTTCGCAGGGGGAGTTAGATCTAGGTTGTCTGAAAGGTGTAAAACACAGTATTGATACAGGAAATGCTCCTCCTGTAAAACAAAAATGTCCTGATAGAATAGTTTGTATTGTAGTCCCTACATCTTTGAGACAAAAAGTACTTTCCCTGTCACATGATACAAAATCTTCAGGTCATTTAGGAATAGAAAAAACTCTGGCAACATTAAAATCATCTGCGTTCTGGCCCAATATGACTACTGACTGTCACGATTATGTTAAGTCCTGCTCTGCCTGCAATACTAACAAGAAACCTACTAAGACTGCTAGGGCTTCTTTAAAAACATTCCATGCGGGTTATCCCATGGAGAGGGTTCATCTCGACATTCTGGGTCCCTTTCCC